CTCTACTAAAAGTACAAAAATTAGCCAGGCATGGTGGCACATGCCTGTAATCCCAGCTACTCGGGAGGCTGAGGCAAGAGAATTGCTTAAACCCGGGAGGCGGAGGTTGCAGTGAGCCAAGATCATGCCACTGCACTCCAGCCTGGGCAACAAGAGCGAAACTTCATCTCAAAAAAAAAAAAAAAAAAAAGACATGTTTCAAAAGTATCTGTCATTGCAGGGAATTTCCCACTTTACCAATGTTCCACGCTTTTCAGCATGTTTATTTACTTTCATAAATATTGAATAAAATTGTTGTAGCATGTTGTAAAAATGGAACATTCATTTATTTATGTAACATTTACTTAGAATCCAGTATGTCCAGGTTATATTATTCACTCTGAGAATATAAGAATGAACAAGACAGATTAAAACCCTCTCCCTCTTGGAATAATCCATTTCAGTATAGGAAGAGAGACAACAAACAAAATAAGTAAATAATATAGTATATTAGAAGGTTATAAGTGTGCTAGAGAAAAATCAAGCTGAAAAGAGGGATGGGAGGTGGAGAGGCTTGCGGTTTTAAATAGTGTAGTCAGGGAAGTCCTCACTGAAAAGGTGACATTTGGGCCAAGATCTGAAGATGAGGGAATTAGTCATGCAAACAGCTTAGGGAATAAGGAGAAAGTATAGTACGTACAAAGGTCCTGAGGCAGGAGGGTACATTGGTAGGCTACAAGAATAGCAAGGAGATCACTGTGGCTGGAGTAGGGTGAGCACAGAACAAATCATACAGGTTATTGTTAAGACTTGACTCATTCTGAGTATGACAGGAAACAATGAATTTGAGCAAAGTTGTACAAATCAGAAAAATAGAAATGACTTGGATGTATTCACCTAGTTCTAGCAAGAAACTGAAGGCACAGTTCCAAGGGGATTTTGAGTACAAACTAATGTAAAAACAATTACAGAAATGTGGGCAGTTAAGAGTACAAACAAGGAATGCTGAGGCATTCCGGGGCTAGTACACTGGGGTTCTATCACCACACCTGGATCTGAAGCAGCCCAATAAGAGTTAGAGCCATGGGCGGGGATCTGATACCGGATGCAGTTGTAGAGGGATGGCATCACTACCAGAATCTCAGCCTAGCTCAAAGGGAGGGGGAAAGAAATACCCCAAGTTCTTTTTTCTACTACCCTCTGACCTCCTGCCTGCAGTTCTCATTGGCTAAACCCAGGGAAGACAAGGGATGCCTGGTGATGAGGGCCAGAGCACCCCATTCCTGGAATGCAAGAGTGCACAGAAAAGCAGGGAAATGATAGAGAAGTGGAATCAGGCAATAACCAGCACACTTGAGTGTTACCAATGCTGAAGCAAAGACATCTTCTGGACCCATTTATATATTTATTGCTGCACGTAAAAACAAGAATCCAAATTTGTTTGGGGAATTTAGATTCATGAAGTATTGGCACTGAGAATAGTCATTTGTTCAGCCAACTCTGTAATTTTACAGTTAAAGAAACTGAGGCCCATCAAGACTATGACTTGTTCAGGGACACACAACTAGACACAATGCTGCAGAGACTGTAACAGAACAAAGGTTTCCTGACGTCCGTCTCTTTCAACTTTGCCTATAATATTTTAATTATTTTTCTGTCCTGTGTGTCCTTGTAATTCCATTCTAAAATCCTTTTGTATTTCATAAATTAACTCTTATAAGTTTCTCTGCATTAGTTTGATTCAACTGAAAAGGCACCAATTATTTCTAATATTATCTTTGAGGGCATTCAAATATATACTATTCCCAAGGGACAATTTATCTTTGGATAGCATTTATGAACTATCGTCGATCACAACAGCTAAAACTATAATCTTGGCTGTTGTTAATACACCCTTACAAAATTATTTTTGGCTTAGCCTGGAGTCTGTGGGTACATTTTAAAATATACGAAAGTAATATATTTAAATAAAAATGATATGTGATCATTGCAGAAATTTTGAAAAAAATATATAAAGCAAAAAAAAAAAAAAAGCCTATTATCTCATCCTTTAGATATAGCCATTATTAAAGTTCTGATGTATTTCTCCCAAACTCTTTTCCTATGCATACATGTAATTTTTAAAAGGCATGATATAATTTTAAATTTTTTTACTTGGTATTCTAACAGACTTAACATTTTTAAAAATTTTCAACAAATGACAAATGTTCATCTTCAAAATGATTTTGACTTTTGAAAACAGAAGTCAACTAGAAGGTCAGGAGTTTGAGACTAGACTAGCCAAAATGGTGAAACTCCATCTCTACTAAAAATACAAAAAATTAGTCAGGTATGGTGGTGGGCGCCTGTAATCCTGGCTACTCGGGAGGCTGAGGCAGGAGAATCCCTTGAACCCAGGAGGCAGAGGTTGCAGTGGGCTGAGATTGCACCACTGTACTCCAACCTGGGAGACAGAGTGAAACTCTGTCACACACACACACAAAAAAGTCACCTAGAGGCAAAGTTCATTAATAAGGTGGGCTATAAAGTTTGGGTAATATTTTTCTACCCATAACAAGGTGCTATTTTAAAGCAATATGATCAGGATTTGTAAGCTTTATAATTAAGTTGTAAAATAATCTAAGTTTTAGGATGATATTTAACAAAAATGCATCACGAGCATGTGTACCCTTTTTAAAGAATTTACACAATAACTTTGGCATGCTATCCTTTTTTTTATTGAGACAGGGTTTCTCTCTTGTTGCCCAGGCTGGAGTGCAATGGCATAATCTTGGCTCACTGCAACCTCTGCCTCCCAGGTTCAAGCGATTCTCCTGCCTCAGCCTCCCATGTAGCTGGGATTACGGGTGCCTGCCACCATGCCCGGCTAATTTTTGGTATTTTTAGTAGAGATGGGATTTCACCATGTTGGCCAGGCTGGTCTCGAACTCCTGACCTCAGGTGATCCGTGCACCTCAGCCTCCCAAAGTGCTGGTATTGCAGGCGTAAGCCACCGCATCTGGCCTTCCTTTTTTAGTCTTAAGGTTTTATCATATCTTATAAAACACCAAATGCCATCAAATAGTAACATATTTCAAAAGCATTGGATAAGATAAGCAAACTTTCTTCTTTTTGCTTGGAATTTATACCACCTATTCACATTTACATTGGAGCCTATGGTATAAAACATCTAGCTATTTCTTCTCTCATGTTCAACTAGGAAAACAGATTACCTTTGTGTGCTCTAGAGAAAGTAATAATGGCCTATGGTGGCCTTGCTTTAGATTTTAGCTGAGTAGGAACAAATTTAACCTTTGTATATACAGGCCTGAGTTGAGAGAAGATAAAGGGAGATATGAAGAAAGTGCCCAGGCCAGTTGTCCCCACAGGTGCTTGAGAGTGTAACCTTGCTAATAAAGAAATAGCCCATGAAACAGAGTAATAATCATCTACTGTTCAATTGTACTGGATAAGGAAAAGAAAGTAGTTTCTACAAGAAAAGCAACCCACCAGTATCAAAACGCATGGTCTTTCCACCGACCTCTTTCAGAAGAGGCCCCCGCTCTGAGGCCCTTTTATGACTACTTGAACTCTTTAAAGTGTCCCTAGATTTGCCTATGGATATTTTTATCCACTGAAAAAAAGGAGTCTCAGCCCTGAGCATCCCTAAAATTAGCTCTATTTTTGTCACACTTATCTAATAATTACATTTAAACAAAATGACTTCTTTTTCCCTGTTGTCTAGAGTTGTTTTTTTTTCTTTCAAGTGGGGCATTTCAAGCTTCTCTTAAATATCGAAATCACTGCCTTTAAATTAAAGTTAAGGTTTCATTGAGAAAACGATTTCTCTCTTACAAAAACTTAGTCATTTTGCAACAAAGTTATTAAATCTCTATAAGAAATGCCATATAGATTGTTGAATATTTCTTCCATTTTGGTATTACACAAATAGTATAGTCCTACAAAAAGAAACTTACCTTTGACCATATAAGTTATTTTTAAATCTCTCTAAACATAATACACAATATATTATAAACTATTAGAGGTTAAGAAGATTTTTTAAAAAGGTTTCCTCGTAAGTGTAAATCAGATCATGTTAATCCTCTGCTTATAATCTGCCTGTGGCTTCTCATTGCATTTAAAATAAAGTATCTGTTCCTCCACTTGGCCAACAATGTCCATATGATCTGGCCCTTGCCTACTACTCAGATGCCCCCTACTCCCTTCCAACCACATACTGGTTTCCAGCACAAAGGCATTGTCCTCATCTGTCTCCCTTCCTAAAATGCTCCCCTGATGAGCTTGTCCTTAGCTCAAAGAACACTTCCTCAGGCCTACCTGCAGGTAACCTGAGTAAGGTACACTGTCTCCCTTCTCACCTTGCATTGTTGTTTCATTTTGTTCTTAACACTTACGAATATTTGAAATTATATTTTTTTGCTTATTTCTTTGGTGGTTGTTTCCCCCACTAAAATATAAGACCTATTTGAACAAGGACTTTGCTTTTCATGTCTGGTTCACAACTATTTTCCCCAAGTCCAGCAAAGAGGCCAACATAGTAGGTTTCTTATGGAGTCTTGTTCTGTCACCCAGGCTGGAGTGCAGTGGTGTGATCTCGGCTCACTGCAATCTCTGACTCCCAGGTTCAAGCGATTTTCGTGCCTCAGTCCCCCAAGTACCTGTGCCTGCTACCATGCCCAGCTAATTTTTGTATTTTTAGTAGAGACAGGGTTTCACCCTGTTGGCCAGGCGGGTCTCAAACTCCTGACCTCAAGTGATCTGCCCACCTCGGCCTCCCAAAGTGCTGGGATTACAGGTGTGAGCCACTGTGCCCAGCCAGGTTTCTAAATTTATGTTGAATGCATGAAGAAGTAGAGCTGGTATTATTATATTTGGAGCTGTTTGTCCAAGATACAAGCTTGATGTTACTATGATAAATCTTTTTATTCCACAGAAATAAAATATCTCAAATGAAATATTAGTACAAAAATTATTTTGAACACAGTAGTTATGCTTAAAGAAATTCAGTGGTGAATACTTACTATGATTGAATCATCACAATGTAATTTATCTTTCTTGAATATATGCATTTTTGTGTGACAGGCTGATTTTTTTTTCCTTGGAGGGTAGAGTCATTGTATTGATGAAATACCAAGGAAACAAACAAAAATGAAATGTGGATAAGCTAAAAATCTGAAATTAGATTAGTTGTTGAGTAAATATACACAATACGCAAAGAAAAAAGATTAGTATCAAAATCCAGAAACAATGGGGAAGGATAAAAATTCTAAACATTTGAAGATGAAAATATATTTACATCTAGTCAATTTAGTTTAACAATAGGTAAATGCCACAAAAAGGGGGTCAAAACAATACTGTTACCATTATTCACTAGGGGTTTGATGGCCAAAATTAAAACAACCCTCTGGTTAACTTTTCACCTTGATTTTGCATTTCCCTATGTCTTTAGTTTGGTCACTTCCTTTTCCTCCAAAGATCCCACATTAAGGATGGGGGAAGGGAGTGAATATTAATTTGCAGAGAAGCAGCTCATTACATGACCATTTTGAGTAACACCCAAATCCTTATGTAAACATGGATCATGTGTTGAGCTTTTAATGAGTATGAATGCTTTCAAGGTAGGATTTCAAGTATTCTAAAGTTAAATGCTAAAAGTGTTTTGTTTCCAGTGACTAAAGAGCTAGCTATTTTGGAATTAAAACATAACTGGGAATGCAAGGTAGTCAAGATTCTATCTGTACCTTTCAAAACTTTGGCTTCTATGAATAAAAGTAGTTCAATCAGCCAGGTTAGAATGACCTTCAGATTATCAGTCCGGAGCATTTAGGCTATCCTTCATGTGTGAATACAGTTTATATAAGTTTCTACACTCACATTTTTAAAAACTTTACAAGCTGACAGTAGTAACATACAGAGGGAATTATTACCCCCAAGTCTAGAAATTTGCAGTCTTTCAATGTTCTTTTGTGAGTATTAAAGTTTTACAACTTAAAATTACAGGTATACTACAACTTTAATCAATACTTCAAATTCATATACAAGAAAGACTAGACAGTGATGATTCACTTTGTCAAAGAATGTGTCATTGAAAGTCTGTAAATAGCTCATCTATGACAGAATATGGCTTCTCCATAAAATCATGGATATCTAGTAACTGCTTTCTTCTTTTTTTTTTTGAAATTAACAAATGGTATTGCCAGTAGTATCACATTGAGTTGCTATCTTTTCTTCTGAAGATGCCAAAGCACTGCCACATCTGTGACCTTTTTCCAAAGTTTTTCAGTGGGTTTGGTAGTTTAACACCCCTTTACCACAATGTTATTTCTTTTTAGTGATAGGGAAACTGAGGGATTAATAGACTTGTCAGCAATCACAAAACAAGATTATAGCAAAACCGGAGCTTACTCTTGATCTGTCCAACTAGGAAATGTAGTTTAAAAAAAAACTTTATCCTGAGTGGCCACATATCATATTTAAAAAGAAAAATAAAGAAGTAATATAGTCATTAATGGATTTTGTTTGGATTTTCTGTTGCCCTACATTGCAGCATTTAAACAACTTGTAAAACCACAGAGTTAATATCTTACATTCTAAGTTAAATTCCATAAAATATAATACAGGCCTTAATAGGACATTATGTTTATTATCAGTTTGAAATGCACCCTTTACTTTTACCAAATTGCTACATTTTGCTTGAACATCAAAGGTCTTTGGACATCAAGGAAATCTTCACTAAAAAAAAAAAAAAGACATCATTGTTTCACAGTATATTAAACTCAAAAAGAGTATTTAATAGAAGTTTCCTTAAAACACCTCATTATCAAGTAGGCATTTGTGCATCTCAGTCAAATTATATTTTTCTTTATAAAAGTATTTATGGAATTTTATTAGTCTTAGTTCTTTCTCATTACATTTTTTTTCCTTTTTGGGCAATACCACACAACGGACTCACTGAAGGGGTTTATTAATATGATATTGTTCCAGAAATGGAACCCTAGGAAAATCATACTAATAAATCAAGTACCACTTATTTAGACAACTGATATTTATTTCTACCAAATGCTTTCTGGAACCTGAAAACTATTTCTCCATTTTGTATTTTTCTATTAGGTTGGCGCAAAAGTAATTGTGGTTTTTGCCATCATGTAAGTGGCAAAAACCACAATTACTTTTGCACCAAACTCTAATAATTTGGTAATAAAAAACACAGAAAATAAGCATAAGCTATTTCTAAACTCCGGAAAAAATTGTTAACTGGGCTATAGGTAGTCCAATTCTTAATACACAACACAGAGAATGTTCAATAAATGTCACTGTCTGGTAGTATTAATGCTAAAGGGTTACTTCTCTTTGCCTAGGCCGTTGCTTAATTTCTATGGAAAGTATTTTCTTTATCCCATAATGTTTAATGTATCATTATTATTTTAAATATATTATATCTTCATTAAAAAAAAAGTCAGGTTTTCTTGAGTATCTAGAGTTTACATTCCAGGATTTTCTATGAAATAATGCACCATCTGGTACTGATATGGTTAGATAATAACCTATGAAAATTTGGGGGTATGATGTTTGCAGATGATGAAAAGATCTTGCTGTAGCAGTTTTTTATTTTATATCAGTAGAAATTCTCCTTAATTTTTAACTGCTATTATTCTCCTGTATTATGTTTTATAAATGTACCTCATGCATCACTGCAATTTGAAATATTTGAAAAAAGTACCAGGTACAGAAGAAACAGTCAAATTGGGGGCTCTAAGAGCAGTAATCGAGGATTCCCACAGCCTCTAGTATGGTCTCTGGGTGCAGGCATGCAGCCTGGTAACTGCATTAAGACTCCTAGTCTTGAGGTTTGGGACTCCAGGGATCTCTTTCTTCCAGTGAGTTAGGCTACCATGTTACTTATTAACAACACTCTATACAGGGAGAATATGTACTTGCATATACATCCTGCTTTCTATCATTTAAATTAGTTATTTAAAGGCTTTCAATTCTCTGTGGACCAACTTATGAATTACATACTTTTTTATTTAGATATAACTATGCCACTTTTTGTCCTCTACATTGATTTCAAACTTAATTGCAAAAATCAGAATTCTTATTTCTTCATAGCAGTTTGATGTAATAAATTCTGTACATTTTTTTAAGGGCAAATGTATAAAAGTAGCTAGGGCCTTTAAACTTTTGGAAAACAGTATTTTCAAGAGAACTATTAAACACAAACACAAATCCTTAAACATCTAAACGAGACTTTTAAAAGTTATAAATCATATGCTTTTCCTAAGATGTCTTTGAACACCTTTAGCACCCTCATTACCAGAAATTTAGTCCACTTCTGGATCTCTTCTAAATTATCTTTATCTTTCCTTTCATCTCATAATATATCCTTTTAAGGAGAAATGGTCTTACAGATTACTTTAAGATTTTTCCTTTAAATATATGATTTAAGAGTATTACAACGAGTAATCAAGAAGTTTATATGATAAAATAATGTAAAGGGATGAGCAGGCATATAATACTCATTTTTCCAAAAGCACCACCATCAACACTACCCATTGATAACCACCTTAAACAATCTGGTAAATCAATCCAAAATTAACTTAAGCTTTTATAAATTCATATTGGATTTAACCATTTGATCTAATTTATTGATGGAAAACTGCCTCTGACAATTACTGAAATTACAGATTTAGAAAAGAAACATTCCATTAGCTATCGCTGCCACAATAGCATAACGTTACATTTTATTCCATTACTTTCGTCCACCCCCTTAAGAAACAGGGATTTTATGTGGTCTTATTTCACATTCTGACTCTAGTCACTTGGGTTTGGAGGGCATGGTTTCCACTAAGATTAAAAGACCTAGTTGTATAAATTACAACTAAAGACCTAAAAAATTCTCTGCAAATCTAATTCTCAAAACACCTTTTGGGATTAAAAAGTATTTCTATTCTTCAAAGATTAGAGAACCGAGTTCAACGATTTACTGATTTAAGTTATCATAATGTGATTGCTAACGCTGCAGTAGATATGAAATCTCGATTTCCATTAAGACTTAGATTTTACCTAAATGATGACTGCTTTAGTATGTCAAAGTTTAGGAGCCCATCCCCATTTTTTTTTAACTGCTTAAAAGAATGGCCTTACCATTTTCTTTGGCCAGGAACTAGCTACAAGATGATAAATTTGCCAGTACTTTCTTTTCATAGTTATGCTTTGTACTGCAACAGGAAAGGGTGCTTTATAACTCGTTATGGTTGTTTGTGGCCCAATCCAAATCATATAACACCCTGGCTGCTACTAACAGTTTTAGAATAAACAAAAAGAACTATAATGCAGTAGGTTCTACATTTATAAAGCCTATAAACTGATTTCGTGCCGAAAGTAAAAACAGTGTCAGGAGTTTAAATGAATCCTGGAATCACAGCAAATTCAGGAAATTTAGGAATACGTTAGTAACCATTAAGCTTTTTAAAAACTGACTTCACCCTGGGCAAGTAACCATCCCCTGATGCCGTTGTTGGAGACAGAATTTCTGGCAGGAAGATAATTTTCTGACTCAATCTGGCTTGCTGTTCTTGTTTAATCATCCCCATTTCTCTGAACATTTTACTCCTCTGACGACAATGGTCAACATTTATTTTCAGAAGTTTTAAAGTGATTTAGTTCTTCCAGCCGCATCTCTCTTTATCCTATCTAAGTTTTCCCCAGCCCCCATTCCTATCGCCCTCGTTTCACTAAGATTTTGCTAAACATTAGACACAAGCACATGACCTCCAGTCTTCCAATGTCTCGGAACAAACCGACGTAAAAACATCTGATTAGTTCCATTGTAAGCTTCCCTAGGCTTGGAATTTAAAAATTGTCTTTAGCTCGTCAATTCTTAAAGAACCTTCAACACAAAATTTAAATTTAAAAAATTTTAAATAAAGAAACCGCTCCCTTTTTTAACCTTTAGCTCCGCCCATTGCCCCCCCCCCAGGTTCCACGCGATACTGCAGGAAACCGGAGGGGGCGGAGCGGTGACGTCACGACGCCGGTGCGTCACGGAACGGCGGCGGCTGCGGCGCTGGCGGTAGCTGCGGCAGCGGCGGCATTTTAGTCGGCAGCGGCGGCGGCAGCGGGGCTGCTGCTTCTCCCAGCATCCCTGGCGCGGCCATTTCAGCCCCATCTTGGCCCAGCGGAGGGAGCTGCAGCCGCCGCTTCAGCAGTTTGAATTTCAGTTTCTCCGGGGTTTAGGAATTGGGCGCACCGAGAAGGAGCCGAAGAAGCCACCACCGCTACCTCACATAGCCGGGGTGCCTCCGCTCCCGTGCCAGCGGTCTGCCGCCGCCGCCGCCCCTCTGTGAGAGAAGCCGCGAGGGGAGGCCGAGACCGCCGTCGCCGCCCGCCCGCCCGCAGGGGTGGTTCCCCCTGTAAGGGGAGGACCGAGCCGGCTTTCCCCTCCCCCAGAGCGGGTTTCCGCCAGAGACAGTCGACATGTCCCTGGGGTTGAGCTCCGGCTAGAGCCGGGGAGGGAGGGCCGCCTGCCCGCGCCGCAGCCCCACCGCCCGCCGGCGGACCTTCAGCCAGTCCCGGTCCGCGGCTCCCGGCTGAATCAGGCATCTCCGACTCCGGACTCGCCACTCCTTCCCTCAGTCGGAGAGCCCAGCGCTGACGCCGGCACCGGCCTGAGGAGCCCGAGCGGGGCAGCACCGCCCCTCACGCCGCCGCCACCGCCACCGCCTCCTCCTCCTCCTCCTCTTCGCCCTCCCACTCCCACCCCCAGCCAAGGCCTGCTGACCGCGCCGAGCGCCGAGCTGGACTGACCACGGCTGCCGGGAGACGGGAGAGGAAGCAGCCGGCCCGCCCCTGGGTTCGCGCTCTCGCCGCCTCTGAGGGAATTGAATTGAGGCGCCGCGGCTGCGGGAGCTGAAAAGGAAGGAGGAGCCGCCGCGGGACTGAGACGGGGGCAGAGCCGAAGAGACAGACAGACACAGAGAAGGAAACGAGGAGGAGGATGTCTCACCGGGCGACCAGCGCCTGGATCAGCTCGTGACTTACAGCGGCGGGCCTCGGACCCCAGCGCAGACTCGGACTTTTGTCTTTGGGGGCCCGTGCTCTGCCCTCCCTGGTTTCCGGCAGGACCCGGAGGAGCCGGCGTGCCTCTCTGCCCTCCAGCCTTCTTCACCATGTCCAAGATGCCGGCCAAAAAGAAGAGCTGCTTCCAGATCACCAGTGTCACCACGGCCCAGGTGGCCACTAGCATCACCGAGGACACTGAGAGCTTGGACGACCCGGACGAGTCACGTACAGAGGACGTCTCCTCCGAGATTTTCGACGTCTCTCGGGCCACGGATTATGGCCCTGAGGAGGTCTGCGAGCGCAGCTCTTCCGAAGAGACGCTTAACAATGTTGGGGATGCGGAGACTCCCGGGACCGTCTCCCCAAACCTCCTTCTGGATGGGCAGCTGGCAGCGGCGGCTGCTGCTCCCGCCAACGGAGGAGGAGTCGTTTCGGCCCGGAGCGTGTCTGGGGCGCTCGCCAGTACCCTGGCGGCGGCCGCCACTTCGGCCCCCGCCTCAGGAGCACCCGGCGGCCCTCCGGTCGCGGGCTCATCCGCCGGGCCAGTGACTGCAGCCCCATCTCAGCCTCCCACCACTTGTAGTTCCCGTTTTCGCGTGATCAAGCTGGACCACGGGAGCGGAGAGCCCTATCGACGCGGCCGATGGACGTGTATGGAATACTATGAGCGGGATTCAGACAGCAGCGTCCTGACTAGATCCGGGGATTGCATTAGACACAGCAATACTTTTGACCAGACTGCGGAGCGGGACAGCGGCCTGGGCGCCACCGGAGGGTCGGTGGTGGTAGTAGTGGCCTCCATGCAGGGGGCGCACGGGCCCGAGTCGGGAACTGACAGCTCCTTGACTGCTGTGTCACAGCTACCCCAGTCGGAGAAAATGAGCCAGCCCACTCCGGCCCAGCCGCAGAGTTTTAGCGTTGGGCAGCCACAGCCGCCGCCGCCACCCGTAGGTGGGGCTGTGGCTCAAACCTCGGCTCCGCTGCCGCCGTTCCCTGGAGCCGCGACCGGGCCGTCGCCAATGATGGCAGCCGCGCAGCCCAGTCAGCCCCAGGGAACGGGGCCCGGGGGACAGACTCTGCCGCCGACGAATGTAACCCTGGCGCAGCCGGCTATGTCCCTGCCTCCGCAGCCGGGCCCTGCAGTCGGCGCTTCTGCTGCGCAGCAGCCCCAGCAGTTCGCGTATCCTCAGCCTCAGATACCGCCCGGACATTTGCTGCCCGTCCAGCCCTCCGGCCAGAGTGAGTACCTGCAGCAGCACGTGGCCGGCCTGCAGCCGCCAAGCCCCGCGCAGCCGTCGTCCACCGGCGCCGCAGCGAGCCCCGCCACGGCGGCTAGCCTTCCCGTGGGCACCGGCCAGAATGTCTCCTCGGTGGGCGCGCAGCTCTTGGGCGCGTCTTCCCAGCCCAGCGAAGCCATGGCCCCCCGGACGGGACCAGCGCAAGGTGGGCAGGCCGCGCCATGTCAGCCGGCTGGAGTGCCCCCGGCTACTGTGGGAGGCGTGGTGCAGCCGTGCATGGGTCCTGCCGGGGCTGGGCAGCCCCAGTCCGTGCCTCCACCGCAGATGGGTGGCAGTGGTCCGCTGTCAGCCGTACCTGGTGGCCCTCACGCCGTGGTGCCCGGAGTTCCAAACGTGCCTGCAGCCGTGCCCGCTCCAAGCGTGCCTAGTGTGTCTACCACTTCTGTTACTATGCCAAATGTACCCGCGCCTCTGGCCCAGTCTCAACAGCTGAGCAGCCATACGCCAGTCAGCAGGAGCAGCAGCATAATCCAGCACGTTGGGCTGCCCTTAGCGCCAGGCACACACAGTGCACCAACAAGTCTACCACAGTCTGACCTAAGCCAGTTTCAGACTCAGACCCAACCTTTAGTCGGGCAAGTCGACGATACTAGAAGAAAATCAGAACCCCTACCTCAACCACCACTTTCTCTCATTGCTGAAAATAAGCCTGTTGTGAAGCCGCCTGTTGCAGATGCCCTGGCAAACCCCCTTCAGTTAACACCTATGAACAGTCTGGCCACCTCTGTATTCAGCATAGCTATTCCTGTTGATGGTGATGAAGACAGGTATGGAAATATCTATTTTAAATATTTGATAGAAATGCTTGGCCAACATTGTAGCTTAGGATGCAACTTTGGGAGATTTGTTGTCAACTGAGGCCCTTAGCATTTTTAAATACAAAATTTAGTGTTTGGTAAAATTGATTTAGATTGCTGATGTCAAAGGGTGTAATGAGCGAATTGGTCATGTCACAGTTGTTTAAAAGCACTAAAATGGGTCAGGATGCAACATTGTTTACTCAAAAAAAGGTGAATTTAAGCTTAATCCTTACCATTTAATGGTGGTAGCTAGTATGTTATGCTCCCATAGATTTGTGCTTTTCTTACATATCAGTCACACTTGAACACTTAAGGCAGAGAGATTTGTCAGTGTGAGTTTTGAGGCTGAGACATAATATTACTTACAAGTTTTCCTTTCTGGAAAACCAGAAGGCCCTCTAGTGAAAAAAAAAAAAAAAATCCATGTGAAGAATCTCCTCCAGTGTATCTGGAAAGGCTGGAGACATAATGGTGAAATGTCAAACCCGGCTTTGAAGATCATACTTAGTTCAGCCTTTTGATTAAAGAAGGTACACCCAGAGACTTCTCTAAGATACTTTTTTTGTTGTTAAGCAAAAACTGTACTGGAAAGATGTTCTTACCTTCTATCAGTCTATTTACTATAGGAAAGGGAGGTTGAGATCGATCCTTTAACTGTAGTGAAAGCTATAGTTCTTGAAATTTAAGAGTAATTTTTAAATAAAAGTGTAAATGTTAATAACTGGCTCCCTGTATTTAGGGATGCTTTTTTAATGGCCTAAATAAGAATTGGTGTATTGCTACACCAATACCACAAGAGCTGATATTTGGTTATGGTTTAATGAGGATTTTTGTGGTTTTGAGGAAGTGTCACATGTAAATTTGACATATATATTGCAAATTTTTAAAAGCTAACTCGTTGCAATGTTTTAAAATTATATTTTAAAATTATAGAAAAAGTTTCACGAATTTCACAGACATTTCTTTGCTGGGGTTTTTGTTTAGCGAAAGGCTAATTTTAGGTGTTTTTAAAAGATGAAAAGTGATATTATGGATTTCCAGAATAATTAGTGTGTGGAAGAATACAGTGACATATATGTTAAAACTTTCTCTTTCTATGGTTTCTTCTGAGTTCCTTCATGTTTCTTAACCTCCCATTTCTAATTAGCCTTGTATTTTTGTTATATCTTCTATTGGTTTGAAAAATACTCACTGAAATTCATTCATCTTCTCTGCTTTTTGTAATTTAAAGTTCATCTTTTTTTGTAGGTGACTTACTTATGGGGAGTCTTTCTTCACTTGAGAACGCTTAGAGAACACCACGTGTCCATAAGTGCGCTCAGCTAGCTAGTCATTGAGAAATTTTGTGTGGATGGGACTACCAAGTAAACTGATTCCACGAGCCACTCAGAAAAATCTGTCTACTTTTTATAGTTGCTCCCATTGTCACACACAGGGACACACCTGTAACACAGATTGAGCTTTATTTTTTCACTTTTGGTAATAATCAGCAGGCATCTTCTCTTTTCTAGCTGCCACAAGCCAAGTTTTTCCTGATAAGTTGGCAAATAACCTTTTCTTTCCTCTGTTCCTGTATACTGCCCATACTGCCCCATATCTCTTCAAGAAATGATGACTGGTTTCCTGACCTACCCCGCTTTCTATACACACAAACCTCTCCACCCAAGAATGCAGATTACATTTTCTCTCCTCTTCACACCTCTCAGTTCACAGCATACATACTTAGATTCCTCAGAACTTTAGTATGATGATAAGGCATGAAGCAGATAGTTCTGTTGATAGATGGAAATTGAAATGTATTTAGGATATGACATCAAAAATGCATTTATTTTTCCTCTTACTGTGTTAACAGTTGGTAATCTGAAGAATCTCATTTCCAAATTTGTGAATGTTTGAACTACAGATACTACCGTATCAGTGTTCTTATCAGTTGCAACAGTTAATTCAGTGCAGGGGTTTTGATGTATGTACAGTCCTATTTTAAACATGACACTTACCTCCCTCACCCCAATCATTTAAAATCTACATCGCTTACCAAATGTTCATTTCTAATTTTTGTTATAGTCTTTCATTGGTTTTTAACTTGACATGTTAGTTTCCAAGATGTAATCTTACACATTTGACTGTTTTGTCACTGGTCCAACATACCTGGTGAAGGAATAAATCCATTAAGTAGAAATAGTTGGGTTTTTTTGGTTTTGTTTTAATAGAAAGCCTTAGTAAAAAACAGGGCATTTTAAAATTTTGTGTTTGAAATTAAATAACAGTTTTCCAGGCATATGTTTAAATTACTGAGATGAGTACTTTTGAGGAGGCTACTATCTTAACTGAAAATTTTAATTTTAATGTGATTTTGGGTTACCGCCTTAAAATCTGCATACAGTTTTATATGCAGTCATTCAAATTTGAAATAAAACCAACTGGAGTGAGAGGTCTTGAGTAATTACGATTTAAACTTTGCAAGTAGTTTGACAAATTTCAGATCCTAAGGAAATATTTGTAAATAAGATGTATGCTTTTTAAAAAAAAAAAAAAAATTAGGACTTTAGTAAAGTCTATTTCTTTGAGAAAAGGAAGGAAAATGGGAAATTAACAAAAAGATTGAGGTGGTTTAGGTTGATACATTGAAAACTCTATCTTGAGATTTTGATTCCACTACCTAATACAAAGCTCTATATTGGCTTAATTTTGAGATCATTTAGAATTAAAGAACTGGGCCTTGTAGTAATACATCTTAATATTATCACACCTTTAAAAGGCTGATGGTTGTATATGCAGAAGGTTCTCAATTAGCATTGCCTATTGACTCTACATTAATTACCATAAAGTTTATCTTTCTGGCCATTTTCATTAGAAAGGTTTATGGTCAGTTGTTGAGACTTTTCAAATTGATTTTGTGTAAACTGGTGGATGTGATGGTTGAAAATATAATTCTTAAATGTGTAGCTACTTTTATAGTGAACTTTACAAAACTTGTTTCAACTGCATACACACTTAACAGTCTCCTTATAAATGAGAGGAGGTGCAAAGTATTACTGGCCCTTTTGGAAAAGGATCACAGTACAGATCACTTTCCATAGATAGCCGACCAGTGTGAACTCTGTAGGCCGCATTCCAGGAACTCTTATGAATGGCTGCAATTGTGAGCTGTCATCTGTGGCCAAAAGACTGTTGAAAACCTGATTCTAAGGATCCTTTGGTGGCAGATATTTCTATGTCTTGTTAATGGTTTTATTTGTGTGGTTTGCTAATGACCGCCGATAAAGTATTATACATTGTGAAAGTTAAGTGGTGTGTCCTGGTATGTGCCATAAATACACATTTTGTTTGTACATTTATATATATTTTAAACAAAATTCTGCTTTTTTTTTTTACTTGAAGTTTAAGTGAGAGGATTAAGTAAATGTATACCAGGAGGCAGAACTGTCTCAATCTTAGACCTCTGTTATATGAAAGTCTCACTGAATTGAAGTCTCTAAAGATGGACGTTTCTGTCTTGAATATGTTTCTTGGAAGCTGACATTTATCTGTTAAATTGTGAAGGTAATTTTGCTCTTGTAGGTTTACAGTTGATGTGTGAATTACATACTAGATACTATCTTAGGCCTATCTACATGTTTAAGAGTGTTCTTACTGAGGAGTTAGTAATAAAAATGTCAGATCATATATATGTGATATTATTGTTCAGTATAAAAACTGATATTGATGTATTCATCAGGAGCGCCACATGGATTACTAAAACATACTTTATTCATAAACGTGGCTCGAAGTAAAAGGAAATGACAGTTTTCCAAAAAGGCTTGCGGTTTTCCGAAGTACCTGAAGTTCCTAAACCGTGAGCTATATCTGTAGGAGTGTGGCCTTTTATATTCACAGTGACACATATTGTATAAAATTTTATGTGAACTAAATCATATAGGCCAAACATTGTTAAGTATTTTTAGAAAACATAATGGCTTATATGTGTGTGAATAATACAGATTCCAACTATTTTAGTAACACTTGTTTTTTCTCTTTAGGAGATCACAACCCCTGAACTAAATCACCTTTATGAGAAGTCATTTTATATAGGACTGGTGGTAGGGGTATATATGTTCTCTACTTCCTGAGAATAAATATAATGCCAATTCATTTGTTATTTAAGAATCCTGGGCCAGGGGTGGTGGCTCATGCCTTGTAATCCCAGCACTTTGGGAGACCAAGGTCAGGATTGCTTGATGTTTGAGTTTGAGACCAGCTTAGGCAACATAGTGAGGCCTTGTCTCTACAAAACATTTAAAACTTAGCCAGGTCTGGAGGCCCACACCTATAGTTTTAGCTACTTGGGGAGGCTGAAGCAGGAGGATCACTTGAGCCCAGGAGCTGGAGGCTACAGTGAGCTATGTTATAATATTGCACTGAAGCCTGGGCCACACAGCAAGACCCTGTCTGTAAAAAGAAAAAGAAAAAATAATTCTGATAGCACTAATTTGGAAATAGTGAAATATAGTACTGGATCTGTGAATCTGGTACTTCCCAATTAGGAATGGGAGTCTGTCTGTCTCTGCACCAGAAAAGATCAGAAGCAGTTATGAACAAATGGCAGCCCCACCAATCAAGTAGTAAAGAAACCCAAATAAATCTGTTTCCTAATAGAGGAATAGTAGTTAGGAAAGTATAAAAGGATTCTGACCTTCCTTTCCTAAAATGGCAGGAGTTGGGGGTGGGGAAGTGTAGAATGATAGCAGATTACCAAGGTGGAAGAAAATACAGTGGAATAGCATGAAATATAGTCTCAAAAGAAATAGGAACACTTGTGAATATTGAGGAACGGTGTTCTAATTCTTTCTTTGAAGAATTGTTTTAGTCCAGTGTGTATTTCCTTTTCTGAAGATTCTGTTTATTTCTTAATTGCATTACTCTTTAAATACTTAAAGTATGAGGAAGGAGAGGCCTTACAAAAGCAGGTCTGTCTGGCTAAACATAGC